CAGTTCCACTGCTCGTTACCAGCTGAGAATAGTGATCCATCTGTGCAACGAACGTCACCCCATACGGTCGATGGACTCCCACGAGGCGTTTTGCTTCGCTAGGGATCCATTTCAGAGTTCTTCTCCATCTGTCGTCTGTCCTTCTCATTATATGACCAGCCTATCGGTGGCTTTGGAGCGTATTCCGCTGGATCGCAAAGACGAGACATTGATCTCATATCTTAAATGCGAAGTCCGATAAGATGTGCGTCGGGTGTATTGCAGAAAACGTCGTTCTGTAGGTTGTTTAGAGTGCCTTCGACGTAGCCACAGTGCCAGGCCACGTCTATGCTGCGTAACAGAGCGTAGGGAGAACGGCCAAATCAAACAAGTGGGCTCGGAGCATCGGGTCCGTCATTGGTCTGTGGCTTCCTTTAGGGACCCGAGGCGACCCAAGCTGCTCTTTGCCTCCTGTTTAGTTCTTCTCAGATTGGATTCCATGCTCATCGAACGCCTGAGATATACATAAGAAGACGTCTCCGCGATTGGAGAGCCTTCTAATTCCATTTTCTGATCATTGCAAAAAGCGTTCTTCATGAAGTGAGTCTTCTTCTGGATAATTCGCAGTCATTCCGCTTTCCTATTTCGTTTATTCTTTCAACATCGTCTCCATATCGGTGATATTTCGCGAGAAAAGAACAATGTCGTCCGCAAAACGAGGCTTTGGGAGGAATCTCCCATCAGTATAACTGTCGTTGTCCCATGATTTCATCACCCACTGCAAGGCGGTAAACAGCTTTGGTGACGCCTTGTGAAACTCCTTCGAGATCGGTATGTTAAGAGGGCGATGGAATAGCCGTGGCGTTGTAGGGCAGTTCTTGTAGCAGGCGGCTAATGTCCTCACGTAAGATAGGTCCACCCCTTTTCGACAGTGGCTGACAGTATGGCATCAGTCTCGACATTGTCGAAGGCTTTCTCATAGTGTCGACGAAGATTAAGATAAGAGGTAGGCGGCACTTTTGGAGAATCTTATTGTTAGTAATCCTCAAATGTCTGTAACCCATGCAGCTGAATCTCTCACGAAATTCAGTTGTTCTACAGGTTGGGCTTCACCCAGTATCCTTGATATGCGATTAAGAATAACCTTCGTAAAAAGCTTGTAAAGCAGACACATTGGACGGCAGTACCAAA